CCAAATCTTGACCCCTCAGAGCCAAAAAAATTACAGACCTATATCTAAGCTTCGGTTTGTTGCTAAAATTTTGGAAAAAGTTGTTGCAAGCCAACTAACTACATTCATGGAGAAACACAATCTGTTTGACGCTCTTCAGTCTGGTTTCCGGAAGTTTAGGGCTGGGCGATAACATTTTTGCCAACAATAGAGATTTTTGTTATACTGGCATATTGCGATAGGTCAATATGTCATCCAGTTGCTGGGTTGCACGCATAGACTGTAGGGTTGCATGTGACGAAAGTGCTCCGAGGGACCGGAAGTACATTTCCCAAATAAGAACAATGTAAACATTCACTGATTCCGAGTTAAAATGCTATTTTTCTGGGGGGAACTTATGAAGTCTCTACTTTGCTAAAAAAATATTTCTCTAACGGGTGTCAATTTTTAGGAAAATGTCTAATAAGGAACGGGAGAAATGCGCTAGCATTAGAAATTAGCCTGCGTAGCATCTGCGGCCGCAGACACAGCTGACAGTCCGCAGTCTTTACTTTGCTTACTTTCATAGATACAATGCAGTCTTTTTGTGTGGTATACGGTTGTAGTAACCGAGGCAACGGAAAGAAAGAACTGTTAAATACATTTTCTAATTGCAGCCCCGCTGTTAGCTTAACGCTAGAGCTCCGTACACTTTGTCCGAACTTTTTGTTATTTAAAGCTCAGCAAATTACCGAAATGACAATAAGGGTCATATTTCTTGCTTCAAATATTGTCTAAAGTAACAGTTATTAATTTAATGTATTAATGATCAGAACTATCTCAGACATATTTCTGTTGATACCACAGAGTGACACCACTGTCGTCACTATAACAGCCTTAATCCTTACATTCAAACACTACAAAGCGTACGCTGCATTAAAAATAGTTTTCACTCATAATAAGAGTGATACTAAGCCGCAAAAAGCTCCTATGTCTGCGTTTTCCAGCATTGCCCATTCTATTTAATAGGAGAAAAATACTTCCTGTCCTACGGACCCATGCCCCATCCACTTTTGGTCACGTGGTTGCAACCCAGCAATACTGCTTGGAAGTTGAAGTTTTATAATGTTCTCTATAATTGCAGGTTTGCACAATACATTTAAATAAGTAACAATCTTGACTATTTCATGCAAGAACCTGCTAGACCTACACACCAAATTATTCAATTCAATGTTCATGTGAATAATATTGTGTCTGATGTGTCCCAGCTTTCTTATGGTGTTGCCCTGTTCTGGGCCCTTTATTGTTTTTATTATTATACCTCTTACCTCTTGAGAAAATTATCGACCGTTTTAATAATGTATCTTAGAATTTTTATGCTGATGATGTTCAGTTGTTTTGCTCTTTTAAAGACTCTGAATTCCACCTTATCTCCCAGTTCTAGAGTGTGTGTCCAAGATCAAAGGCTGGTTAACAGCAAATTATCTGCAGCTAAATTCTAACGAGACCGAAACCCTGATTTTTGCTCCTGACAATAAGATTCTCGACATCAAACAGCTCCTTGGTTCATTTGATTCCTCTGTCACTTCCACCCTCAGAAACCTGGGATTTGTTTTTGATCAGGCCCTGAATCTGGACACACACTCTAAACAGCTCGTTAGAAAATGCTAAACATATTGTCACAAAAGGACTTGGAGATGATCATTCATGTCTTTGTTTCCGCACGTCTTGACTACTGCAACTCATTGTTTACATGTCTTTATAAGAGTGCTCTCAACAGACTTCAATTTGTGCAAAATTCCAGTGGTCTCACATCACCTCCTGTCCTCACTTCATTGGCTCCCAATTAAATTACGTTTTGATTTCAAATTTGTAGTTTTAACTTTCAGAGCCTTAAATGGCCAGGCTCCTTTTTACATCTCAGACCTCTTGACCCAATACTGCTCTGGCTCCACAGGTCATAATTTGCTTGTGGTCCCAAAGACCCGCTATAAGATCCGGGGGGACTGGACCCTCCAGTCTGTGGCCCCCAGACTGTGGAACGCTTTACCTCTGTCCCTCCGTGTGGTCAACTGTGCCGATGCTTTTAAAAAGGGACTAAAGACCCTTCTTTATAGGGTAGCTTTTAGTTAATCTCTTGTTTTATATGTTGTTATCTTCTATTTTTTCTTATTTCTATTGTATATACATATCTGCTTTTACCTTGTACAGCACTTTGTGATTTTTATCTATGAAAGGTGCTCTATAATAAAAATTTACTTACTTACTTACTTACACACAATATAAGGTGACAGCAGTAAAGAGACGTTATGATTGGCAGTAAAGTGACATTATAAAGGGTAGTAAGGTGACTTCTATAGGGCGGGGGGACAGGATATGAAGTGTTCAAGAGTCCAACAGCAGTGGGGAAGAAACTGTTCTTATGGCGGGAGGTTTTGGTCCTGATGGACTGTAGTCTCCTGCCTGAGGGGAGTGGTTGGAATAGTCCATGTGCAGGGTGGGAGGGGTCGGCTGTGATACGACCAGCCCGGCCTCGAGCTTGGGCGACGTACAGGTCCTGCTGCGATGGGAGGCTGCGGCCGATCACCTTCTCTGCAGCGCGCATGATGCGCTGTAGACTCTGCTTGTCCCTGACTGTGGCTCCAGCGGACCACACGAGATGGAGGAGGTGAGGATGGACTCGATGATGGCCATGTAGAACTGCACCAACATCTGTACATCCTCTGCTGGGCCTTCTCGATGAGGGAGCTGATGGTCGGCTCCCACTTGAGGTCCTGGGTGATGGTGGTGCCCAGGAAATGAAATGACTCCACAGAGGAGATTGGGGAATCCATCAGGGGGGGCGGGGGTGGGGGACTGTGCTCTTACTGAAGTCCACAATCAACTCCACTGTCTTCTGGGCGTTCAGCTCCAGGTTGTTACCACTGCACCAGGACACCAGCCGGTCCACCTCCCTTCTGTAGGCGGACTCATCGTTGTTGGAGATGAGACCAAAAAGGGTGCTGTCTTCCGCGAACTTGATGAGCTTCGCAGAGTTGTGGCTGGAGGTGCAGTGGTTGGTATACATTATAGCACATAGCCCATTGAATTTAACCATATGAATTACAATTATTCACTGTGAATGTGTAATGGGAAGTCTATTTTCTCAAGCGTATTGGGAATTAGACCTTTTATGTAGCACAACAGTTAAAAACAACTTTTGTATATACTCTTTTTGTTTTGACATTAGTACTAACCATAGACTGTATATATGTACTAACATGAGCACTAACCCCGCCCTCCGCGGGGCACCGCGTATGAAACCGAGCGCACACGGCTCAACTGACAGGAGTGGCCCGTGCGCAGCGGAGGACAACAGGATGTGATCTGTTTGGGGTGAGGCAGAAGCGCTGACATGGAACTATAATACACATCCATGCGGGATACAACATCTGAACGCAGTTTGGAACTAAGGAACCGACTGCAAGAGCCGCGTGGTGCATGAATGCGAGTGGTGTCTTTGTATGTGTGTGGGTGGGAGTGTGTGCGCGCATGATAGTGTGTATTGGTGTGTATTACGCAAACGGTGACTCGCGCATATGGGAGCCGTGGCGTTGTCATAGACGGCGTTGTGCAGTCAAAAGTGAACTTTTTCCGCTATTGTAGGCGCACTGGTCCCATTGCGTTCGGGCTCTCTGCTGCGGCTGGCGTGCGCTCGTATAATCCTGCCACACTTCCACTTCGCCATGTTGTTGTTGCGTTGTGAAACTCGATAGAAAGTTGTCCAGAGCGCTCGCGTACATGCTGGGAGGCGCTTCGAAGGGACTTTTCCACGGGACCCCAGGTCGGATTTGTCACTGCGGACACGATCCTGTCTCCTTTCGGGTAGGATCGCTTCCTTCTCGCGGTGCCGCTTCTCACCATAACACACTGGTGGTGGAGCTTTCCACTAGGCTTCGTTTCCTGTATTTCAAGTTATGGCAAATAGAAGTTGCGTTGCCTGCCACATATGTGCAGCTTCTATTAGTTAAAGCATTAGCATCAGAGTGGAGCAAACTCTCCAAACTATAAGAGACCTTATCTGACTAGAATATAGTGGTATTTTTGGTGTTTAAATATGCATTTGAGTTACTATGGTGCATGGAGTTGGGCCTGTCATGATAAAAAGTTTATACCACTGGCACAATTTCTAATTAGCAGATAACCAGCTGTAAACCACTTCTAAAACTATCTTTTACCATCAAAAAAAAAAGTTATAAACACCTAATTTATGTAATAAATGCCAAAAAGTGATGTTATATTTCTCTATAACGTATAGTTACGGTAGGCCTCCTGTTAATAAAACGGCTCAAATGTGACCTGCTACTGCATCATTGAAGGGATACATATTGATCTAAAAATATTTTGTTCCAGTGGTCAAGTCGAAATACATATCCTGACAAGCCTATGAGCGTTTGTGAAAAGCAAGGGGGAGTAACGGATTACCATAGTACCGTAATATGTCGTTTTGTATTAACTCTCATCTAATTTGTTTCCAATTGAAGTTGCATCCAGGTTAGACATGCTCATTTGATACATGTGAACAATAGTTGTATTTAACATTATCGTTATTGACTTGTATGTGACAAAAAGTTGAAATAACACTTAGCAATCAAACACTGTTGCCACAGGTTATAGGATTTCATATACATGAAGAAATAGGTTATTAACTATATGTAAGAATCTAATTCTGAGAATGGCAATCTTGTTTGTTCTTCTTATTACTGCTTAGAATAGCATTACAATAGATTGATCAAATGTGCTTTTAATAGACTTTTTTATCACATAAATCTAAGTGCAACCATAATGTTTGTTATTAAAATTTGAATTTGTTTTTGTCTGTCTCTAAAATGGTTTAGCCCTAACTCCTTCATATCGAGTGTTAATACCTTCTTTTGTTTTTAAAGGGACCCTGGCTCCTGAAATGACGACTGTCTGCCATCTGATTGCTTTTCTCACAAATTGATTTCCCTCGGATGCCATAAAATTCAAGAATTCCACCACAACTCGCACAACCGTAAGCTATGAGCCTCCCTCCTCAGCTGAGCAAGCCAGCCAAGCACAGAGCTATGAAAGAAACGGATGTCTTCTATGGCATGGGCCCTCCCACCCTGGAACCCAACCACGGAGACTTGAACACAGGTGCATCTGGGCTTTACCACACGGAAAAAGCAGCACCAAACATGAGTCACCACTATCACCAGCAAACGCAGCTAAAGTGGATGCAACCTGAGCAGGCTCCCATCCAGGGGCCCCTGTGGAACCAGGACTTGGGCGGGTGGAGCCAAGGTCCACAGTACCCGCGAGGACAGGTGTTTCACGAAGGGCTTTCAATGGCGGAAAACCAAATGCAAGACGTTTATACAGACAATTCCCAGTGGGATTCAATGATACAGATGCAAAGTTATCAGCAGCAGCAGCACCAGCAGCAGGTGCATTCGATACAAGCCCCGATGTTGCAATCTTTCCAGACGTTCCGCCAAAGCAAGCCGCAGCAGGCGCAGTTCAACCCAGGCTATTATGCAGGGTTTGCACAAAGTAAAAGTGTGGGTTATGAGCAAGCCAAGCCGCAAGGCATCCTCCAGCAAATTCAGCAGCAGAAGCAGATGGTCAATCCACAACAGCAGCTTCAAATGCAACATCTCCAGCAAATGCAGCAGTATCAGCAGCAGTGCATGCAAGAGCGCCACCTGCAGCAGAGGAGCCAGCATGGTGCACAGCAGGTACAAATGTAACCGAACACCAGGAAAAATGAAATTGTCAACCAAAAAATTTAGTGAAGTCCATAACATTAGTTTCTGGTTCATAAACAGTCACTAGCCCATGATGCTTGTTCAGTTGGATTTTTTTTGTATGATCTGTCCTTGCTAATATCAGACATTTTTCGCACAAACTCGTTCCAATACACCGTTTGTCCAAACGCTCTTGTTACGTTATCATAATTCCCCCTACTATTTTGTCCTAGTCTGAACAGTTGTGCCTGCAAATGAGTTCCAGTGTCATGTTAGATATTTAATATAATTTAATTTCCCACTTCTACAATCCTGACAGTCTCTTATTCACTATGTTTATATATAGTAATAATCTGAATCTTACATGTGTGTTTTGCCATTTGCCATAAAACCATTTAGGAGCATCTGTTGGTTGATACATTTGCCTTACCTTATAGCTGGAGCCAAACGTGGAGCTAAAGCACCAGCAGCAGCCAGAAGCAATCTTCCAACCTCAGCGAGAGACCCAAGAGACAGAGGAGAGCGCTGAGCAGATACATATGTCCTCGTCTACAGAGATAGAAAAAGTTCCTGAAAGGACTGTGGATCCGACTGTAGTGCCCCCAGGTGGGAATTGTGGTGAGTACTGTCAGACTGTACTAAGAGTACTGTTAATTGGAGTACTTACTGTATAATTATATGCACCAGTTGTCAGCAGAGAATTAATATTAAGATTTACAGAGCACATGTTTTAGTAACTCTAAAAGGAAGGATGAATGGTTTTGAAGAAATATGTATCCTAATATTTGATTGTATTAATTTAGGGAAAGCCCCTAATGATGCAGTATCTCATTTTCAAGAGGGTCCAATTGCGATTTATATGTTTATAAATATAAACTATGCACTTATGATTTCATTTGTGATTTATTTAGTCAGTTTTCAAATTTTCAATGTTTTTGGAGAAATGTATTTGAGCATGACTGAAGCATAACCTTAGCATTTGTGTGAATTGATTGTAGTAAAAACGACATGCAGTTTTTTCAGAGCCAGCAGTTTCATATCATTTAATCTTTGTGAAGGATATCCTGCAATCAGATAAATTTAACTGAGTGGTTCTGTGGCAGTGGCCCAGCCCAGACGGTCCAGGCGGCTGTCCAGAGAGGGCCAGTCTCCCAGCAACGAGGCACTTCTGAACGGAACAGGACAGGACACAGCGGAGGGCTTGAGCACCGGAGGAGTGATCCAGAGCACCCGCCGCAAAAGGAGAGCGTCTAAGGAAATCAACCTGGAGACCTTAGCCCAGCAGGCGGCCCAGAGAGAGTCCCTGCCCGCCAAGGTCAAGGTCAGATCTTACGAACACCAACCATCTCGATTTACCATTCAACAGACACACACGCGAAAGTTGTGTGTCTGTTTTAAAAATATATATATAAGGATCAAATCCACTATTATAGAAGCCGTTCTATAGCCTCGTCTGGTCCAGGTCATGTCTCCATATAATAACATCTCCAAACACACACGGCAAAGTACTTTGGCCACTGTCTACTGCTTCAGAAAAATGACTAGGCTCCATATTCGAAGTGCTAAGCGTCTACACGATGTAGTTCCAGTGCCCGGCAGTGGAACATTACAACACGACACGCACGACCCCCACCAGTATACCCACTTCCTCAACAACATCCTCCTCAGGCCACCACAAAGGCGTGAAAGAATGCAGCAACATCATTTTGCATTTAACAGCAGCTGCCAAAATGCAAACTGAAACTATAGCTTCGCATGGTTTTGTTTGGACGGACGAAGGAGTAGAATTGCTTCTGCCGTGTAATGCTCAAAGCACACGTAGCTTTAGTTGATCTGCCGCCATTGCCCTTTTATGTTCACTAAAACAGCCCGACCTTAGCTGACAGATAACCTACAGCTTTCATAAAGATCAGATTTTGTGGGGATTTTAGTGACCGCTATGACTCCGCTCTACCCCTGGTCTGATAAGCAGCTCTGATTGATTAGAACATGTGTGTGGCTCTCATGCACGTGCACAGAGGTGCTCTGACCAATCAGAGCCGCTGATCAGAGCAGAGCTAGAGCGGAAGTTAGAGCGGGAGTTTGTGGCACTAAATTGTGAATTTAAAGAAAACCAAAGGATTTAAGAAGGAAAAAAGTTCAGGATGACAAGGGACACTAAAATCCCCACAAAATTTGACCTTAGTGATAGCTGTACTGTAGTGTCAGCTGAGGTCGAGTTGTTTTAGTTTACACTGACTTCTAAGGGTCAAACCTCTTGGTAGCCCACGTGAATTTAGTCTTGTTTAGTCTGCAGTACTGCAAGAATCCCCCGAGCACATGGGTCCTTCAGCTCCAAGCTAGTGATAACCTATCCAGATATTATAATAGATCCATGGTTTGAATAGCTGCCTCACATCCTGGCTCCTTGCCTGTTGGTCGGCACAGTTGGTGCTGAAGGAAGATTCAGATCCTTCTATTGTGGCTGTTATGTTCGAATACTTAAGAGCACATTTATGTAACCCCGATATGAACCACTGATGGACCATTACCAAAATGTTCAGAAATGGATTTGGTTAAATGTAAGATCAGGCAATTATTTTAGGCTATGTCTTTTTGTGAGCACAAAGCACTTTATGGGGCATTGTAAAATGTGTTAATCAGGAATATACTGAGAGGTTCACTGAATAAATAAAAAAATAGGCAAGGCATGTTCATTTGTATAGCACAGTTCATGCACAAAGTAACTCAAGGTGAAACAAAACATGCAGAAAAATCACAAATCATCATTATTGTAGGAGTTTGGTAAAGCCATTTCAAATCTATGTATGCTACCATCCTCTTGATACCAAAGGTTTTACTTGACCACCTTTTAAATTCTTGGAGTTATTACTAGACAACACCTGGTCCTGGTTATTCTCAAAGTTTATCTTTATCTGATAAACTTCCTGGTTCCATTTATGCATTTTGTTGTGTTGCAATATAAATCCTATATTAATACGAGAATATAGTAGAGTGCTCGAGTTGTATGTGCAGCAAAACAGATATTTGAACATGGGCTCACATATTTTAGTTGCATAAATATGACATGGTGATCACAGGTGGTAATGGGCTATTGCTATGGAGCTGGGGTTCGATTTTAATTATTGTTAAAAAATTAAGTTTGAACAGTGGATTGACAAATAAAACCAAATAGGTATTCAAGCTTAAACATACTATAAGCACATCAATCATTGATGTACCAGTGCACATAAACACCTTCATACATGTATACAATAATGACATATTTCATAATTTCAGCTCAAAATTGAGTGGGAAGAAGAATGTGCATTGTAATGATAATATAACAATCTCAAGTAAATTTACATTAATGGGAACACGTGTGACTGATACTCTGCATGCTATCAAATAGATAAAAATACAATAACATGTACAAAGTTAAAGACTAAAAATATAAAATAGCTTTGAGATATTTTGTATCGTTACAACTGACTGCAGGAGAACATGGACCAGTGGACTCACTCCTTCACTGTATCCAACAGATCAGTGAGTGGATGCAAAACAACTTCCTTCAGCTAAACGCAGACAAAACTGAAATGATTGTCTTTGGTCCCCAGAAACAAAGAGAGAGCGTCATCTGTCACCTACAGTCTCTCTCCCTAAAACCTTCAAACAAGGTCAGAAATCTAGGGGTAATACTGGACTCAGACTTAAATTTTAATAGCCACATCAAATCAGTAACATCAGCAGCTTTTTACCATCTAAAAAACATTGCCAGGATCAAAAACATAGTGTCTAAAGCAGACCTGGAGATTCTTATCCATGCATTTGTCTCCAGTAGGTTAGACTACTGCAATGGCCTGCTCACAGGTCTGTCCAAACAGGCTGTAAAACAACTGCAGTACATTCAAAATGCAGCAGCTCGAGTCCTGACAAGAACCAGGAAGTACGACCACATTAGTCCAGTCCTCAGGTCTCTGCACTGGCTTCCTGTGGCTCAGAGAATAGACTTTAAAACAGCTCTGCTTGTGTATAAGTCTCTCCATGGCCTTGCACCAAAATATATTAGTGACATGTTAGTCCCATATGAACCAGCCCGGACTCTGAGGAGCACAGGGACTGGACTCCTGTTAGTGCCCAGAGTCAGGACTAAACATGGGGAGGCTGCTTTTCAGATTCATGCTGCTAAAATCTGGAACAGTCTTCCTGAAGATATGAGACAGGCCTCCTCTCTGACAATGTTTAAAACCAGGTTAAAGACAGTTCTGTTTAGCTGTGCATACAACTGAGGGATTTTATATTTGTATCTTTCTTTTTAATGTTCTGTGATTATTTATGATTTTAATGCTTTCTTGTTTTGTTCAGCACTTTGAATTGCCTTGTGTATGAATTGTGCTATATAAATAAACTTGCCTTGCCTTGCCTTGCCATCGTTATCAGGTGGGGAAGAGCTCGTTCTTCTTGCCGGCGTCAATCCTGAGACCTGAGACCAGTACTAGTGTGACAGGACTTAAGGTCAGAGACCTGAGAACAGGACTAATGTGAGCGGACTTCCTGGTTCTAGTTAGCTCTATCTACCGTGGACTGCTTTGTGCAAGTTTTAGTGTTCACAAACGGGTGTGTGCAAGCTAAGTCCGTGGCCCGCTGCGTGCAAGCTTTGCTGTCTGCGATCTGGTGTGCACATTCCACAAATACATTTTCAAATGTTGTGAACAAATTAGACCGGAACATGCTGTATTTATCTAAATGTTATTTACATGATATATTTTACATACTGAGAGCTGCATATGTGTACTGTGGCGCTGCAGAGACAGGACTGACCTGAAATTCCTCTCTTATGATCCTGTGGAGCTCTGTGAGTTGTGAGCTGAGCAGTGCCTTTTTATTCAGGATAGCACAGTTTACTTTACATCTGTCTAGGGCCATATTATCATCCATTTACCCTCTTTAGAAGAGCGTATTCTCTCGATAAGTGAACCTTAAGAAACACTGATACAGTAATTTGAAAGCCTGTGCATTTGAAGACAGATGCAGAAAAGATCCTAGACTCTCTGATCTGCCTATGAACTATTTGGACACACATGCATCCCCCCAGTGATTGATCCACACCTGCAAAATTCACCAGAAGTTCAGGATTGTTCAATGTGGGGCCAAGCAACAAAACCCTGGTCCCTGGTCCCAACAATAATGGCCAACAAGATGTCACAATGTGAACAGTGGTTCCTCCCCTTTGTGTGTATGCCAAGCCCCGGTGATCCAAGATGGAGCCTTATTCAAATGAATGGCTTGTGCTCAGTAGCACATGGGACTTCACGGGGACTGGGAGATTAGCAGAACTCTCCTATATTTGGGCATCGTCTGGTCCTCCCGGTTCTGCGCAGAGGACGAGCTCCCATGATGCGTTGCGCCAAATACGCATGTGTGGCTCTCATGCATGTGCACAGAGGGGCTCGGCCGCGCTCTGACCAATCAGCTCTGCTGATCAGAGCAGTGGTAGAGCGAAGTCAGAGCGGGAAGGAAAGCAGCAGAGTTTGTGGCAGTAAAGTGTGGATTTAAAAAACCCCGAAGGATTTAAGAATAAAACATGTTCAGGATGACAAGGGACACTAAAATCCCCACAAAATCCTATCTTTGTAAAAGCTGTAGGTTCTCTGTCAGCTCAGGTCGAGCTGTTTTAATTCACATTGAGTTCTATGGGACTTTTTTCTGGGTAGCCCACGTTAATTTAGTTTGCAATTCCCCCCGTTAATTCCCCTGTGCCCATGGGTGGGACAGCTATAAGGTAGTAATACCCTATCCAGTTGTTATTATAGATCCATGGTGTATGCTCAGGTGCCACTGTCATCGCTGCACATTTCTATAGAGCTGTTATTGGCCAACACAAGGCTCTACAACAGCTTTGGGGGAGTGCACTCTACATGTCTGCACACCTCCACATTCCTCTACTCCACTCTATACCTGGAGCAGGGAGGGCCAAACACGCATACACACACATCTGCACGTGTGTGCATGCGTACAAATACAAGCATGCACACAAACACATGAACAAAGATGCACAAGCACACACATGCGCACACAATTTATCAAAGATTGAACATAAATGAGTAAAAATGCTCTTGATATTTTATTGCCCTACACGGCCCTCCTCTATAAATAATAGGTTATTTTGTGTTTACTGCCGTTTATTAGTTTTGAGTTTATATTGTCACCAAAATAATTTCCATGTACTATTAACCAAATAATGTTGATAGACAGCCCTAATAGCAAGGTCCTTTGGTATCGAGGTGCTTTGGTGTGCGACAAACTGCAGTGATCGGAGCCTAATGCCCACTGTCTGCTGGTCCCTTCAGGCTGACGTCCCCTCAAGCAGAACCTCTTCCATGGCCCCTCTGGTCATGCCTGTTTCTGTCCCCGTGCCCAGGCCTCCTCTGGAGCGATGGATGGGGCACAAGGCCTCGGTCATTGTGGCCCGCAGACGCTCTCTCAGGAACTCTGTGACAGACTCCACTCAGGTCAGTCCTTGCACACTTGCACACTCTCACCGTTCATTGTTTAGATTCCACTTCATAGTTGCCTGTTACTTTGTTGTGATTATTCAGTAAGACGATCAGAAATAAAATCTTTTTTGTGGTTGTGAACGTGACAAAACAGCTGTGTTAGTACTCTCGTGACCCACTGTGTATATATAGAAGAACTATATATTAAAAAACAGCTATTTTTACATTCATGATTATTCCAAATGTATGATTTATAATGCCCACAACTATTGTAAGTGCGGACCAGGCTCTCACTATTAAATTGACTTTTTTTCCACTGGACACTTTATCTCTGCCAGTTTTGCCTCAAGAAAGAAGCTCTCTGGGTGAAAATTTTGGACCCCTGGCCTAATAATACTAATAATAAGAATAATAAATTATAAGTCACTGTCGTAATCTACAATGGCTTGAAAAGGTACCACATGAACGTTTCTTCTCTATGAATGTTTCTACCCCATGAACGTTTCTCACGACAAATAAACATTCACAACAAATTTGAAAAAAGCAAAAAAAGTTTTAATAGATAAAAGGCCTGAAAAGTATTCAGCCCCTTTTTTATCAGAAGTTTCCTGATAGCTGATTAATGATTGAATACCGACCTAGCTATTTAGTAGAACGTCTACTATAGTCTATTCTCAGTATGACACAGCTGTTCTGTGAGGGCCTCAAAGCTATGTTTAGACTGTTTTGGTCACTAAATTGCATCATGAAGTCCAAAGAGCCTCCGAGAGAGGTCAAGTATGAAGTTGTGGCTAATTGAAATGAGAATGGAAAGAGTACCACTGAAAAGTCTCAGACTACCAATTTACAGCTCAAACCAGACTGGTGGCCAATGATAACTCTGGCGACGCGGCACACAGCCCCAGCCCCTGGGGGCATTTTCACTTTGTGGTCATTCACCCAAAAAACACATTCCTTTTTATATAAAAGGTTTGGGTAGGTTTATAATTGATTTCTTTTGGGATTATTGTTAGGGTTGGATAAACAACATTGTACTATTCATGAAAGAAAAACATTAGGTACCCCAACTGCAGTGCTTTTACTTCCCTTGGTCACATCTCGCTAACCACATTGTTGATTATTCCAGGATGCAGAGCTGGACTCAGGCTCAGATGAGGACGGGGGTAAGTCCAGGACCAGGCGCCGACCTCGGCCCGAGCCACTGATCATCCCCCCACCACGGCCGTCCTCCTTCATCCCGGCCTCTGTTTACTCGAGTATCACGCCGTACCAGTCACACCTGCGCTCCCCAGTGCGCATCACCGAGCCGCCCCTGCTTCTACCGCCCTACACACCCCCGCCTATCCTGTCCCCGGTCAGAGGGGGGTCAGGCCTCTACTTCTCCACCTTCCTGTCCAGCATGGCAGCCGGGACACAGGCTGCCCCCCCGCAAGCCACACCCCGGTCCTCCTCTGTCAGCCTGCTGCGCTTGTGTGAGTAATATGCATGTTTAGTCCTGGTTTGGTATGGTCCAGGTCCGGGTAGGGCCTATGTGAAAACACCTACAGCGCTGTCCACGGCATCGGAAATGGAAAGTTAATGTTATAACTACACACCCTTGTAGCTGTTAAACGGACAGGGAGTGCTTGCAGAGCCTCATTGTCAAATTAACTATCGTCTGAAAAAAATAATCCCTTTGCAGTATTTATCAGAAGACAAAATGAACCTTGATGAACTGTACCTGATGTTGAAGTTAAATGTGTACAGTACTGCCACACTATGACTATTTCATGCAAGATCAGTATCAAAATTGACATTAGATGGACTTTCCTCAGCTTTTGACCATGTCACTGTAGGCTATATTGGTTGCCCTTTGCCATAAACACGGCCCAGTTGTTTTCTTAGAGTGATTTATGTTTGAATAATTTTTCTCCTACACCTGAGCCATCATTGCTCCTGGATCCCCTGACCACCTGAATAGAAGGATCTTAGTTTACATCCGCGTGCGCATGCGCCACTCGCTGGGTGGCAAACTGAACAAATTCAAAGCCCATTTTATGACCTGGGATGACGAAAAACATTGGTTAGAATCGCCTCTGTCTTGCCACAGATCTGCTGGAAGACATTTATGCCGCTTTTCCTAGTACGGTACGTTTTGACTCTACACGGCACCTCCTAGTATGTCTATAGAGTTGTCAGACCTCATTTACGTGTGACGCGTAACTAGTACTGGTGCGGTGCATGGATTTATTATAATATCAGACGAACAGCAAGTGTTTAATAGAAAATTCAGCACAGCACGAGTGGTTTTTGAAAATGCTTATGTCTTAAAAGAATGACTCGGACACTGTGAAGTCAATGGTGCTGACTGTGCTCTGTGCAATCTGAATGGGACATACCTGTAGCAGCCTGTGTAGCAGTGTGCAGAGGAGGAGGGCTGCTTGTCCGAGGATACGGCCTGAGGATAGCTAATGCTAGCGCTAGCTCGAGACTCTGCTCACTCACTAACCCTGGATTCCAAAGCTACAACTGTACAACACTTAACACATATCACTACCTTCAGAGAAGGATCCAGGGTTTAAACTTGCCATCGGCCAACTCGAGCAGTAAAGGACCGAGGGAGAGACAGCGGCAGCCATAGGGGTAGCAAGTTAGCGGCTAGTCTTACTCGGGTCTAGTACAGCAGACTCCGAGACCAGACAAACAATAGATACCCAAACCTCAGCTACAATAATAAATGAATTAAACACAGTCTTGGGATGCAATCACAGATTTATTGAAAACAAAAGTAAAGTGCAAAACCAACAGTTTACAAAGTCAAAAGTACGTATGTCTGAGACCAGATGAGGAGAATGTTAAGTACTCGGGTCACTCATTGCTCATTGGTAATCTCCTCACTTATGGAAAGGGATTCTCATACAAATATACACACGACAACTTAAATACAAGCACAAAACAGAATGACAACACGTGAATACTGCAGATAATACGAGATAAAGCACAGTACAGGAAGGACGTTAGCTGATATCGATAGCTAAATAAAGCTAAATGTAGCTAGCTCACTGTGTACAACAGACAATCAAACATGTACACAGTAAATACATTTAAGTGTGAGCTTTGGACCAACGGGATTTGTAGCTAACCAGTTATTTCCAGGATTACCACAGACTAGTCACAAATCCAGAGCTGGGTGATCTCCCTGAAAACTGTGTTGAGCCTCGAGCTGCCTTTGAATTCTTTCTTTGGCCTGAAGAGAGGAACGTGTGGACCTCGTCCACCGACCAGGACCAGGACTTTTGGGGCTTTCTGTACAATTCCATTTCTCTGGAGTGAGGAGGACGTAATGTAGCCGAAGCAGAGCAGCCGGTTTTAAAGATGCCGGTTGAGTTGTTTTTCCCAAAGGGTCAGATGTCGCTTCCAGTGACGACACTCGTTGACCAATCAGTGTAAGGCAGTGGGCCGACGTCTCGTCATGGTACCGGTACTATGGGGATGGAACCGCAGTCAAGGTGTTGCAAAAAAGTAACGCAAAGTCCCGGACTATCCCTATTGGAAATGCAAAATAAGCGTGCCGTACCGTACTGAAACAAACTGAACTGACACTGTGGAAAAGCGACATTATTCTTACTTTATAGAAAACCTGGGACCCTTCATGCAAGAAAAGTTAAAGGCTGGAGGCCTGTTACTAGAAAGGTTGGGCCATTTTTCTCGTGAAACAGAAGTCAGTGACTGTGTTGAAAGCTGAGGTCAGACCAGGTCGCGGCACGGTGGCTGAGTGGAAGCAAGAAGGTCCTGGGTTCGAATCCTGGTCGGACCAGGGCCTTTCTGAGTGGAGTTTGCATGTTCTCCCCGTGTCTGCGTAGGTTTCCTCCGGGTACTCCGGTTTCCCCTACCACTAAAAATATGTACAATAGGTCTGGCATGCGCCTCCTGTTCGGCGACCCCGCTCCCATCTCTGTGTGGAGTGAGAGGACAAGTGCCCAAAAATAACAATTGTAAACCGCTTTGTGACTCTGGTCTGTGAAAGGCGGTATATAAATAAAGATTACTTACTTACTTACTTACTACATCTGATTTTGATCTGCCATGGGTGATTACGAAATCATCACTCACTGCAACAGTAAAACTGGGTACACTTTTCTTTCTGTTGATCCTGGAAACCAGACTTCTTCCGAGTGCTCTTTCTCCTTATCACCCGCAACCATTTCTCGCGTTTTTTGCTCATGAGTGGCTCAATTTGATTTAGTAAAAACTCTCTTCAAACGTCTAAAACTATCTCTCTAGCATCCAGGTAGCTTTCGCTGCCATTTTGCTACCCAGTCATGTGACCGGCACAGAAAAACTATAAACAACGTCGTCACTCAAAGATCCTCCTTTACTCTGTTCACTTATGTTATTTTCCTTCCCATAAGGGGCTAGTTATTTTTGTTTTAGTTTGGAACAATTGAGGGTGCCCCCAAACAGAAACATACTGACCTGCCCCTAAAACAACCAGCCTGTGCCAAGTTGAAAAGTTCTGATAGATGATCACATATCAGACAGAAGCATGTTGTGTCCTCTTTAAATATGAATTCTCTGAATGTAAGCTTAGTGTGGGCACATAGCAGCTAAATTCAGCAGGCGCTGATCCTCCCTCTCAAAAAACAATGCACTTTCCCCTTTTGTTGTTTCACATAAAAGATGTTACAATGTTCATAAAGAGAAGTAGGGCACACAGCAGCTGGGGGCAGGGCCATACGTTCCAGTATATCCATGTAGTTTCACTGTGTACATGTGATCAAACATGTCTCTAAATGTCTGAAACAATAACAGGACATACAACTCTTTGTGCTTTGAGCAGAAGGAAATATCATAATAAATATTCACATATTGTTTCACATTTTTGAACTCTCAAATCTTTAGATCTGATTGAAAGTGAAAAAAGAGAACCTTCCTCACTCTGCCAATCAGCAATTACGGAAGAGTGACTTGAAGTATTGTCTGCATTACACCATGCCTTGCTCAAAAGAGCTCTCTAAAAATGTGTATTAAGCATTTGTAGACAGAAACTGTTAAACACTGGATAAGGATGGTGTTCATTGGGAAGACTCAAAGAATGAAGCCACTATTGAGTAAAAAGAACAACGTTTGCAAAAAGACACTTGGACAGATTAAACTAAAGTTATTATTTGGGAAGAACACACGTTAATGTATGGAAGAAAACAGCTTACCGACATCAAAACTTCATCCTGTGAAGCATGGTGGAGGGAGCATCATGGTATAGGGCTATTTTGCTGCCTCAGGGCCTGGTCAGCTTGCAACCACAATGCAAAAATTAATTAAAACGTTTATCAGGATGTTTTGCAGAAACTTGAGGCAATCTTTCTGACTGCTGAAGCTAAAAAGATGACTGCAACTGCAACAACTCTTGAACTGCAATAATTTTGTAAAGAGGAATCGCATCTGAAGTTTATGTGGCAAAAGGGGGAAACCAGCTATAAATGTGATTGTTCAGTTACTTATTTTATTGTATGCAAACATCATTTTATTTTTTATTTTTTAAACATAGATGTTGTTCTTAAGACAGCGCTCCGCTTGTCAGTGTGGCTCAATGTCTCAATTTTAATTGTACCTGTAGGATACTCTCAATGACAAATAGTCTTCTATTAATTATTTTAAGGGATAAAGTAGCAGCTGCGACCATAAGCAACTTCCCTTCCTCTGCTCATTCAATTCAAAGTAATTTTGTTTAGCCCTAAATCACAAGAGTCCTCGTTTTCGAGGACTTTACAGGGTTTGCAATTCACCAACAACAGATCAGAAGTCTGTATCAAAAATGCATCAATGGATTAAAAGTGATATTCTGTATTGTAAACCCCTACATAAATGAGAGGTAGATCACGCCTCAATGGTTGCTGTAAAAGTAGATCTTGGTTTGATTAAGTGTGGGTGTTTTTTTTTTTGGGAATGTTTGTTTTCTAGTTCAACTTTTGTGTGTAATAAATACATATATAAATTATATTCATAATATTATATAATTTAATTTATACATTTGTGAGCCGTGTTTGTCTTTACTAACACTTATATTTGTGTCCCCTACAGCGAGTACAGCCAGCTCAGAGGGCTCGCCTCCTCTACCCCTGGTCACTGATGCCACCCCTGTGAGCCTGGAACCGTACGTGCCGTTTTTAATTTCAGTCCACTTTTGCTTTCTTATTGAACCGGAGCTGCATACAACTTCTATGTTCATTTAATGAGTTTTGTACGTACGTACATACATTTGTATACAGTGGGGCAAAAAAATATTTAGTTGGCCACCAATTGTGCAAGTTCTCCCACTTAAAATGATGAGAGAGGCCTAGAATTTTCATTATAGGTATACCTCAACTATGAGAGACGGAATGAGAAATTCCAAATTATTTGCGATCCGATACGCATACAAACATTAGCATTAGCGCAACTTCTCGTAAACTGTACAACAATCACTGATGAAATTGTACAAAAGCAACGCAACGCTGCCAACAAATATATAACTGAAAGATTACCACTTGTTTCGCGTCCAAAAGTAGTCCGAGGCGGTCCCGCACCCGCAGGTCTCTCCTATAGACTGTAAGTCTCTCCAGAGGATACGATGTAAGCTAGCCATGTTCACCCGGGCTTGGTTTCGTCTTTGATTTTTTTGCTTTAGTTCCCTCTTTTCTTCCTCACTGTTGCGTCGTTTGGGCTGTTTTGCTGTGTATGCAGTTATAGGCAGAGGAAGTATAGCCAATTCTGCTAACATGCTACTGTGTTTACCATCACTGTAGGGCTGGGCGATAAAACGATAACGATATATATTGCGATAGACACGTGTTTGATATCAATAGAAAACTGGGTCGATAGAACTTCGATATTTTCACATTCTGGGGGATGTAGGCAAAGGCTTCTCGACCTATCACAGCCGACTACAAGGCACTCGAAAACAGCTAAAACAGGAGCTAAACCAGGACTCAACCAGGATTAAACCAGGACTTAAGTGGGGGAGACTGCTTGTGAACATTTGGCTCCAGCCTCATTCTCCCATGACTGTAAACAAGGCTGCTAACATGTGTTAGCCGACACAACAAATGTATTTATTTACGTTTAAAAAATAAAATAAAATACAATCAATATATATCGTTATCGACCGATATGAATTACTTATATTGTGATATAGTTTTCAGCTATATCGCCCAGCCCTACTGCAGAGGCTAGAGGATGCAGCCTGTTCGTAACAGCGCCGCTCCTCGTTCTGTGAGTGAAGGAGAACGATCGTCACGCTAAGTCTCTACTCAGCACTTTTTACGGCCTGAATTCATACACAAGCTGAATCAATAAGCTCAAGTTTTCAATTAAATAACGGATTTTAATACAACTTGTATGTAGTAATACACATTTTTATGAACTCATTAGAAAATAAATTGGGTATAGCTTTTTTGTCATGCTAAAAGACCAAGCCACGTTTCATCTTTAATGCCCTTGCTGATGGAAGGAGGTTTCCATTCAAAATCTCACGATGCATTCAGTTGTCCTGCTCCCTTTGCAGAAAAACAGTCCCAAAACATGTTTCCACCCCCATGCTTCACAGTAGGTATTGTAGGGGGTCAGAAGGGGGATGGATTCCAAAAGCCCCTTTGATATCTGCTTCCCCCTCCAAATGACCCCAGTGAAAGAGTAAAGACCTCTGTCTAAATTTGGACATGTGCAGTAGCGGAGAACAAACATAAACAACAATGACGGCCGGTAAACTAACTAGCTTTGTGGGCTTCCAGCGCTTCACAGAGGATAATTCTACACCTTCGTTCGTCCAAACGAGACCACGCGAAGTTTCAGTTTCCATTTTCACAGCTGCTGTTAAAAGGCAGAATGATGTTGGTGCGTTCTGAGGGTCTGGTACAGGAAGTGAGTATACTGCCGGGAGGTGGGCTGGGCACGGGGCTGGGTGTCGTGTGTAGTGTTGTAAAGTTTCTTTGCCCACTACTGGCCGGGCGCTAGAACTACATCGTTTTTCAACCTCATGTGAACGCTGTGAAATTTGCATTAGGGCCTGGTCGTTTCTGTCCTGGAAACGTCTGCGCAGCGTCTCAGTATAAACAGGGCCTAAGTCTGGATTAAAAACAAAGAACCATCTGCCTTTTCCGGCCAGACTGGAGTTAAGGTGTCGGGACATGCTGGGTTGAACTCTCATCAAAGACTCCGCGCATTGTCTTAATGACATCCACGTTTCGCTCTCATTCGGGCATTCGGAACTTCGTAACTTTCTTCACAAAGGATCAGACCACGTGCTTCTTCAACAAAGACTTATTTAATTCAATGCACAGTAAGAAGCTGATTGTAATTTTTTTTTTTTTTGCCGTAACGCTTGACTTACTTGGTGTAACATTGGTCTGATTTGTGACTCCAAAAATCACGGTATTTGTTTCTGTAACAATCACTACGTAACACATGTTTACATGCCCTGTTGATAAAGTTGCCTTTGGATCAATAAACCATAGAGCTAAGTTTGCTGCTATGTTTTTATCATTCATATAATACAGGATTCCCTGACTGGTGTAAGAAACACATTTTTTATTAGATCTTAACGTCTTTTAAAAGACTGGTGCCCATCATTCAAGGTAAATCCTCCTTCCTTTAAACTAGGTCTAATTAATTCATCCTTAAAAATCATGCATCCACCTGTAATTAGATTCCAACCCATCTAAAAGCTATTTTAGATTCCTTACAGTATAGTGTTCTTTGGATGCAAAACAGCATTCTTTCTCCAAACACGACGAGTTGAGTTTTTGTCTTGTACTCCAGGGAGAGTCGTGTAGTGCTCCCAGAGGACACACAACATCAGAGACAAGCTCACCTTTGGCCCTCCGCGGGCGGTTATCCCTCTCTAAGCTCGGGTCCTCTACCAGAGGCCTGGGAGCTTGAGGGTTCTGCGCAGTATCTTTGCTGTTCCTAGCACTGCACATTTCTGGACCGAGATGTCCGAGGTTGTTCCAGGGATCCGCTGTAACCACTCTTCTAGCTTCGGGGTCACTGCCCCGAGTGCACCGATCACCACGGGCACTACTGTCACCTTTACCCTCCAGGCCCTCTCCAGCTCCTCTCTGAGACCTTGGTATTTCTCAAGCTTTTCATGTTCTTTTTTCCGGATGTTACCATCGCTTGGAATTGCCAGGTCCACCACCACGGCTGTCCTCTGCCCTTTGTCTACCACCACTATGTCAGGTTGGTTCGCCATTACCATTCGGTCGGTCTGTATCTGGAAGTCCCACAGGATCTTTGTGCCGCTCCATGAGGGGTCAGGTGTTGGTGAATGTCAGAGGATCTTGAGAGTAAAGTAGAGACATTAGTGAGTTACAGAAGTCAGTGGATTGCATATGGTGAGGGAGGGAGACAGTGGGGTTTGGTTATATTGGTGATAAGAGAGAAGAGAGTTTTGGAGTATTTGATGATTGAAGTGATTTAACCGGAGTAAGTAGTTGGATTGGCAGCAGAGAGAAGGACCTTAGTATATGCATGATGTGGTTATTGTACAATTGTATGTGAATGGTGAGTCCAGTTTTTATGAAGAGCCGTTCAAGTTGACGTCCTTACGGAATGTGAGCTGACGAGGCAGTGGTGAACCAGGGTGCTGAGCACGGAAAGAGACAGGGACGGGTTTTGTGAGGAAGCATGATTGTTCAGCGAGGTAATGGAGAGAAGTGTTGTAGAGGGAGACCAGTTCATCGGGGATCCATTGGATCAGTAGTGGGGAGTAGTGATATCTGAGTGTGAAGGTGGCAGTGTTTATGTCCTGAATTTTTACGGAAAGAAATGGTTCGGCGGGAAGAGGTCTAGGAGGAGGGTGAGGTTGATATTGAAGGTGATGAGCATATGGTCAGTGTATGGGAGTGTGTGAGGTTTACAGTCAGTGGAGTTAACCAGAGCAGCAATAATCCAAAATGTGACCTTTAGTTAGGGTGGGGAAATGAATGTGTTGTTGAAAACCAACAACTATCTAAACAGGATGAGAAGTCTTTGGTGAGAGGATTTCTATATATATGTCCATGTGAAATGTTGAAGTCCCCAAGTATGTCAGCGTTTATGAGATATAGATGATAAGTTTGATAGAAGGAATAGAAAAGTCATCTAAAAAGTCCTTATTACAGTTTGGCGGGCGGTAGATGGTGGCAACTAACAGTAGGAGAAGTCAGGTCAGCAGTGAGGCAGAGTATCGAAGGAGAGAAGACAGGGGCAGCAGGCACAGGTGTGACTTTCCAATCATCGCGTGAAGCATCGAGCGAGACCACCGCCCCGGCTGCCACAGCTGCGGGGCTGGCAGATGTAAACAAACCCCAGTTGGAGTTGGAACGTTCAACGCTGCAAAGTCATTTGGCTGCTGCCAGTTTTCGTTCAAACACAAGAAATCCAGCTTTACGGTCGACGAGGACATCCCGGTCCAGATGGCCCTTGGGTGTTGAGTGAGCGCACTGTTGAGGGAGACCGAAGCTGACTGTGGTTGCGCCTGTTCTTTGGCTGCGCTGGCTGAGCGAATCTGCCAGCGCGTGACCATGACACTGTCATCGTCCCGACCATCGGCGTTAGTTCTGTGAGCAGCGGCTGCCAAAGAAGCGCGCCAGCCGTCCACATCACTTACAAAACTGGTTAATACTGCGTGCATGACTCATAAGTCAGTTACTAACAGTTAGTTTAAGTAGTTTTTGTAGAAAAAACACAAGGATGACTAACGTCATTCCGAACAACAAAAATAAAGCCATCGAGACATGGAATACAGAATATATATACATCTTTTTTAGAATTGTCAATACAAAGCTATAACAGGCCATAACAATGAAACCAATACACAGGCCTCCATATTGGCCCCATGAATTAAAACACATCTTTGCAAAACACACAAACATACATTAAAAATGTGAAGAATGGAGTGTGAACTTTTAAGGATAGGGTACACATCGACATGGGATCATTTATCAGCAGAGAAGACAGGTTTGGCAGGAGATCACAGTCTTTACATAGTATGGCTGAGGAAACATAAAGCAGACAAAGGAAAAGATTATTATAATTATTCTAAAAAAACAAATAACACATTTAAACACCAATAGCTTTACTGAGTCTGGCAAACCACAAACAGAGTAGCCACAAATGGAAACAGTCTTATAAAGG